TATACTGCCCTAATGGACAATTGGTACGCGTTATCTGCATTCTTTTACCATTCTTGGGCACCACAAATTTTATTTGTTTATCTATCTTATCTGTAGAATTTACTGCAAAGATCGTATTGATTTTTCTAGAGGCTTCTTGAAAGAATTCAGCAATTTATGAGTTTTGCTGCAAAAAAGCGGATAGGTTGTAAATTTTGCAAAACTAGTTTCCCGTTTCTGTTTGTGATTTGGGTTCGAATGCAAACTTGGAGGGGTTAGTTTTTGGTAATTCGTCCGTAGTATGATTTTTCTTTGATTTTTTGAAATTTTCTAGCTTATTAGCTACTGTAGGTAATCTTTTTGAGTCGAGACTAATTTTAGACAGTTTTTCATGTTTTCGTGCTCAGAAACATGCTGTGATCCTAGATTTTCAACTGCTTAGCTATTTCTGTCGCTCCTTAATCCTCCTAATCGACATGATCCTTGAAAAACCTCAAGTCTAGCTGTTAAGCTCCCAAACAGATGCTTGTATAGCGAAACATCGACAAAAACGATTCATCGTCAGGAATTTGCGAAAAATTTCGAAATAGCCCGTTCATCGCCAAATGCGCATCTACGCATATGTCCTCTTGAAGTTACGCAAAATGTCGCCTGTCCAGCTGGCGCAGATGGTTACTGTATGGAAGAACTCGATAAAGTTGTGTTTCGTAACTACTTCTCACGAACAAATGACCTAGATCGTATACTTGTGCCCCTCTCCAATTCATTTGGCGCTGTCTCAATCGTCGTTCTATGCTACAGTTTATAGTGGACTCATTTGAGCTAAAATTTGTGAGGTTGCACAATGCGCGCGGCATCCTACGACTGTTAACTTTTAAGCTGGTGAAAAATCGCTTCTAAAGCAACAAATTGCGGAATCTATCTAATATATAAAGAATCGTTAACTCAATTCATAAATCTGCAGATAGCGGGAAACCGCGTGGCGATCCCGAAGCGAACTCTCTTCCAAATAGCATCTTTAGATTACTGGTTCACTAGTGTTTAATGTTACTATTTACCTATGTTTTTACTTTGTTTGCTATTCTATATATTTCCATTTTCTTGCTCAAGCTTACATACGGCAAACAGTGCAAGCCCATTTGTCTATCCAGTTGAAGTTCTATGTATTCAAAAACTTTCTATTTTTCACACTATTTATAGGATTTTGATTACACAAATCAGCTAATTTGCACTTATTTGCCCTTCTAACTGCAGCTCGAAAAAAGAAAATGGGAAATATTTTTTTTGCAGGCTGTTGACATATAATTCGTAGAATAACGCGCATGTTGTGCATCACACAAATCAGGCTACATTGGACTCAGCTATACACTCTTTTGATATCTGTTTATTACCTCCCCCCCCCCCCGTTCCCCCCCCCCCTCTTCATTTCTCCCCCTTTCCGGGCTAATGTTGACTGACTGGCTGTTGCTTGTGCATGCATCGCGCACCACACGCGCTCAATGGCAGATGTCCAGTCATCATCATCTGCCGATGACAGCGGGTTCTAGCCCATTGCGGAAGTTCTAGCTGAAGTCACGAATGAATTATGAGAAATCGAGGAAGTGGGAGTGGTTTTGGTTCTAAAATACTGGAGAGTTTACTTTGCAGCGTTGTACGCGGTTCCCGGGCGACTTTCATAGCGTAAAAAGTGGTGTTCGGATTATGAAAGTGCTCCTTTGCCGCCGTTATTTGAAATTTGTTACTTATTTTTGCTTCTAGTCAATTCTACTGTAGTAATGAACAATACAACAGTGCGGAGCAAATGAGGTCCAGGAAGACTTTTTGCGCATTTTTTATGCGTACAGCTTGAGATATCCAGTAAAATACATTTGCGACTAATATTCTTCGCTATTATCCCTTCACTTGCGATGAAAAATTTTTTGTCGGAAAAGTTGAAATTTAGGCTAAAATGCTGAGAATTTCTTATCGGCGTAAATATCGGAGCTTTTATAGAAATTCAGACTTCATAGAAAGTGTTCATGTGACTATTTTTGTGTGCTTGTTCGCGAAGATAAGGATTATAAAGCAAATAAAGTGAACAAAGTTTAAACAGCCAGATAGAATCTAAATTTACCATTATGAAAACGTGGCTCATACAGAAAGCTTTATTCCTCTTCCTTTCGAAATATGCCCAGCTATTCACTCTGGTTATTTTGAAATTTGGTAGGACCTTTTTGACAGAGTCGCAATCAGAGTTGCGACTTTTTTCAGGGGTCATGGTGGGTGGCTATTTAGCGTTTTAAAGCTTTCGAAGTCATCCATGTTCCCAAGCAAATGTGTCTCCTGAGGCTTATTTTCTACATATGTCCCCTTATCTTTCTTCCTTTGCAACTTAGTTTTTGGGAACTGAAACTTGGTATTTAAGTTGCAAGATTATTTTCTCGGGGAATTTTTTTTCTACTTAGGCTGCTGTTACTTCCCAAAAACTAGTTGAGTATTCATTTGCAAAAAGATTTGTATCTGCAGAAGTTGTTCTTAGAGTTGACCAGCTGATGTTTCTCAGAAAACTATCCAAAAAATTAAGTTTTCAAAAATGTCATCCAAAGAAATACGTCTAATAAGTGCTCTCTAACATTTTTAGTCTAAGAAGATTTTTTATAAAACCAGATATGTAGTATAATTGAAATTCATTGGAAATCTCGCTTTGTGGGAGCTAAGGATGTCATATACTCACCTCTCAAATTACTTATGATGTCTAGTTTTCGTGCTTTTCCACTGTTTGATCATGGTATTGAATTTCATGCACCGGAATTGTTTTTGCTTCTCCCTCGGATTACTACTGGGTGCGTTCACGTTCCTGAAGTCATCTCACGAAACGAAACCCAACGAAACACACAACCAGTTCAGGTCTGAGGGTTGCTTTTCGGCACGTCCCCCCAAAAAGCAACCCCAGTAGCTATCTACGTACAAGGCACTGCGCTTATATGCTTTATCTTAGCTCGAACACCAACTTTCCTTTTCCCTGTTTCGCAACTTTTTCTCCAGCGACATTGGCATCCTATGAAATTATCGGTCTGTATTGTTGTCTTTGTTCCAAATATAACATGGCAAATATACAACTTTTTCCAACACATCGAAATCTTAGGCCTGAAAAATCAGAAAGAAACCACCATATTTGCACAAAAGCTAAATTGAAGATTCTTCAATATTTCTGCTTCAAAGTTGTTTTAAAAAATATATTTCGGTTTATTTTTGTTCGATTTTTTTCTCTTTTTTCATCAAAATGGTTTGCTTGATGCTATGTACGAAATGATTGCGAGAAAACCACTAAAAACGTGAGATTTTAGACAGTGACAGTTTTTTTTTGACTTCGAGAAATTCAAAAACTTCAAAATCATATCCGGTTGTACTTTCCTGAGCAACGCTTGATCGCAGCAGCTATCAAAGCCAGTTCTAACCTAATCAGCTCCGGAGTAGATTGAATGTTGAATTTTTATTTACATAATTCTATTGAGCATTTGTAAAAATGTGCATCTGATAAAAAAAGGTCTTACAAGGTTTTTCGCCTTTCAGACGAGAAATCTCAATAAATCCCTCTTTCACTGGTAAATAAAATGGCGCATTGGTTTGTAGTTTTGTTGCATTTGTCTTAGAAATTCTCTACGAGGAAGGTGGTCATTTCTCCTTTGAGTAGATGTTCCCTGTTTGGTTCTCTCATTTTTCCGTCGCTTCTGTATTCTTTTTTTTTTTCTGTAAATTTAATTGTGCCGATGGATGCCTGCTGCAGTTATTACTATGTTTCGGTAGAATTGCAAACCTAGGCAAGCAATTCTTGTCCTTCACTCAAGCGAAAACTCATCGAAATGATGTATGACTGGGCAAGTTGTTGACATAGTGAATATAGCTATGCACTTCGATTCATTCCAGCTTCGTATAGACAGCTCGTACGGGTGACTTCGGAGTGAAATAAGGGCCTTAGTCAGCCATGATGCGAACATTATGTGTCTAGAACCATTTTGCAAGATTTCGCAGCCGCCCGTCGACTGAAGTGTGCTGGCAAAAAACTTGAATGTCAACTCTATTTCGCTTCTATCCATGGTACTTATGCAATAGGAATCAGATGTGTACACAATGTGTGTGCGTAAGCACGCTCTTTGAGTCAACTTCTTTAATGGGGGTTAGCTAAGGAAAGGTTGGAAACGGCAGAGTTTTGGAAAAAAATTTTGATACATGTAAGTTTTACAGCGAAAGTCAAGGGAAGAGGAGTTTAAAGATTGTATGTTATATCTCTGCAGTTTCAAAAGCTGCACTCAATGGCTTTCTGATGTGCTATTATATTTTCCCCAGAAATGGCTTTCCGATAATTTTCATTCTCAGGCAAAATTAGTTTCGAATAGCTTGCTTTTTTTTGGGACGTCTTCTTTGACAGGAGCTGCTTCATCTCGATATCATTCATTATTATCGTTGCTTTATCGTAACGGAAATTAAGTGTTAAGTAGGGATGCATAAACGCAACTGAGCAGTCTTTTCTACTACAAGCATAATGTGAATTCATTCTACGACTTTCTTGAGCAAACGAGGAAATAAGCTCAATTTCCTTCGAGCACAGTTTTTTCCGATGAAAATTGATGCTATAAGATGGAAAAATTTTGTAGATAATGTTCTGGACAATATAAATAAGCAAAGGGAAGGAAAATTTTTAGTTTAGGAGTAAATTCTTTGCCTTACGATGGAAAAGAGTAAAATAAAGGCTATATTAATAAGAAATCCATTCCCTAGAGGTTGTTTAGACCCTCTGCAACTTCTCAGTGGGAGTAGTTCTCAGAGATCAGTTTTAAAACCACCTCTTCTCTATTTATGTCTTTTCTAAACCTTCAAGATGGTTTTTTTATTGAAAAGCTGTTTTATTATGTTCATGAGAAGAAATGAGTACAGTCTTTAAACTTTTACTTATCTAAGGTTTTCTACATCTTTAATAATATCAATTTATATTTTTTATTACAAATCAAATGTTTGATTTTTGTAATATTTGCTCTTTTCAGCGGTAGTTCAAGAAACGTCAGCGTTGGGTTCTGACGGTGAGAGCGTCGAAGTTTCGCCGTGTACATCAGATCAGACACCTACTGGAGTTCCACCTCGGTACATTGTAAATGTAAAAATGCGACAAAAACCCTCTAGGAAATGGAGCGAGGTATGCTGAGGTTTTTGGTAGTTTTTTTGGGTTGGAATTTTGCACTTTTTCGGCTCGTGAAACTGCCATTTTTGAAAGTCAGATTTGTGTGCTTTCTGCAGTATTCTAATGCTAATTTCTGAAGCATACTTGCATGTTTGAATGTTGCCATGGTAATGTACTAAAGTGCACTTTATTGCAGGAAGAAATCCAAAAACGTCTGTCATTACCGGCAGATTTGCGCTTACCCGTGAGTGTTGTAGAAAAACTCAATCGAACACCAACACTCGATCAACCGTTAACGAGAAAAAATCGCCGGGCATCGTTGGTAAGTTTGAAAAAATCGTAAAGTACAACATTTTGTGTGCTCGTTTCCCTTAGATTAATTAGCCAGCCAGCACACACACACATTTCCCCATTCCAGAGCGAAATTGGATTTGGTAAATTGGAAACGTATGAGAAGTTAGAAAAACTTGGCGAGGGCACCTATGCTACGGTTTATCGAGGACGATCGTTGTTGACGAATAAATTTGTCGCATTGAAGGTGGGTCGATTGTATTTGAGAAGTCTTTACTTGCATCTTTTGCTTTGAATTTCTGTCGAAATCCTTTTTACCACATTTTGTCGAAAAAAAAAACTGCTATTGGTTCAAATAGTCTCCGCTAACGACCTCTTTCTGTCCTATATCGTTATACTCCACGACTTTAAAAGCCTGTTCTGATTCACTACACAGATTCCCCCCCCCCCTCCCTCCCCTTTTCCCGTAGTGTTATCTTAACTACATTTTTATGGCTTCATTCGTTTTGATGGTACAAAACTGCGTGCTCATCTGGATGATGCATTTAATGCGCCTACGCTCGCGATTGATCGTAGCTAATTTACAGCCGAGAGGGTTAGGCTAGTCCTAATCAAAAGATACCATACTGGCTAGGGAAAGAGGGGGAGGGGTTAGTTTTTGGCATTTTTGAAAGCCCTTAGCAGTAGGAATGAGGAAGTACACGCTTATTTTGTTTTTTGTTTGTCTGCATTGACCCGTTGAAAATTTTTAAAAGGTGCTGGAGATTTGCTCAAAATTCTGCTTGCTCTTGTTTCAAACCACTTCCTCATCATTTCTCTCCCCCCCCCCCCCTCGTTAGGGACGGAAAAAGTCTTTTTGTGTGAGTCATTCAACTTCTGTCATATGCAGTTTTTTTGGCATGCCTTTTCTGATTATTTAGAAAAAAGTAGTCTTATCTTCATTACTTTTGAGTCATATTTTTCTTTATGCTTCAGCTGCTTTTCATCAGAGGTAGATAAACGCAATGGCTATTTACTTTTGTGAGTCATTTGTTTTTAGGGTTGAAATGAACCAGTTTATGAGCGTAGAACTATGATTGTGGTATTATGCAGAAATTTATGTAAAAAACTAAGGGTACAGCCGAAAAAGCAATCTGGAAACTCTCATGGTCAGATAATTCGCGAATTTTCCTTGGATGCCATTTGCGTCTCTTACTGTCTTGTTTAACCTTTCTAAAGTTATAAAATGGCACCGAAAGAAATAATTCCAGCAATGATGAATTTGTGATTTTCAAATCACATCAGATTTGAAATTATAAGCACCCTTATTTCGAGGTCAAGTTTATAAGCTCCTTCAATGCCTTCTTTTCCTACTTGTACTCTTATCTCGCTGGTTTGAAGGTTGCTGGTTTGTTTTTTGTCCTGCTGACGCTTAGAATTAGTATCCCGCCAAGCGCTGAGTATCGAACCAGATTTTCGGATTACATAACTTTATGGGCAATAAGAGACAGATGACTTGCAATGACGTACATCTTGCCAAAGTTTATCTCTTTCGTGATGTTTTATGAATTATCTGGAATTGCTTGGTTTTTCCTATGAACAGTCCTATCATAGAAGTTTGAGATGATGCCTTTCTTGTTTGATATAGAGAACATTAGACGTAAAATAACCGAAGTGGAGTAAGGGGGAAGGGGGGAGGGGGAGGAGATTGTTTATTGTTCAAAAATTATGATGCGTGCGTTTTTTTTTTGATAAAATCCACAATTTCTCAAAGCAATTTTCTCCTGCTCTGTTCTCGAAATACTGGAAATTTCTTGATGCAAGGTGTTTAATGACGTCCAGACACCATACGCGTCCCAAGGCTTTTCCTCAAACCCTGAAAAAAGCGGGGGGAGGGGACAGCTGGTTGACAATGTCAAGAATGTGTTTGAATATATGGTCATAAGACAAGCTAATAATGTTTATATGGCTGTCGTGCGCGTCGAGATATTCGCAATGATGACGATAATAAATTCAAATCAAACATGGGCGGTATGCAGCTGTGCCGCCTCGCTTCTTGACCCATATTGTCTTCTTAGGAAAGATTCACGAAGTCTGCAAAAATGCGTAATTAGCATGATTTGATGTACACAATGATGCACTTGAGCTAGGTCTGTCACTTGTTTCTGCGACTTTATTAGTTTCTAGGTTTCTGTTTAATATATCAGACTGTAAGATTACCCCCGACTTGAGCCTGGGAATCTCAGAAATGGATTTCCCTTCCCCAGTCGGAAATAGCTTTAGAAAAGTGAGGCTGCTCTAGTCTACACATTAATCCGCTTATGTCGAGAATACACGAATTGTTCCCGGTTACGGCCCGATGTTTTCGCTCCCCCCCCCCCCCCCAAGACGCCTCGATAACAACTCGATTTCAATCGTATCTCGATGTTTTTGTTTTTCGAAACGACATTGCTCGACCTTATGCTTACGCATCGTTTGTCATGAACAAAGAGTGGTTTTTCTTTGTTCTGCCCCCTAGAATGGTTATGTTTTTCGAGTAGAATGAGTTTTGGTGTTGCCGAGGGAACGAGAGTTATTTATTGAGAGGAATTAACTCCCCCCCCCCCCCTCCCCGTCCTCCGTCCCCTTTCAAGGCCATCTCTGATTGACAGTGTCACTGAGAAGCGTGGTCCATGCTTGCGGACATCTGTTGACACTGAGGGCCCCGAATTGATTACTGAAATATAGCAGGGATTGAGGAAGCGTGACTTTGAGGATTTTCGAAGAGATTAGCATCATTTGGGAGAATGTATAGGGGTTTCTAGACAAGTTGTGTGCTTGAGAATAGCTGATGTGAAGACCTTGAAGATTTTCTTGTTGTGCGCAAGCGTGAGGAAACTCCATATCCTCAATTGAGGAAAGTCAGATCAAAAATTCTATTGTTAAATGAAGAGAACGAACTGGGTGTATTCAATCACCAAATTATTCATCTCCAAATTCATTACAGCTTGAAAACGAAGCCGGAATCAAAAGAATGAGTTTTCGAGATATTAGCCATTTACGGCATAGCGGTCCTTTCCTGATAGTAGGAGATTTCGGGTAGTCAATATGTGGTAGTAGAAGCTTTTTATTACTTCTTTACAAACAATTTTGAATAAAAATAACAAGATATAGAATTTGCATTGAAAAACATACTCATTTTTTGCCAACCTAATAGTTTGATTCAATAGATTTATTCTGGCTTTATAGCTTGTTCGGAAAAGCGCATTTCTGCCTCTTTTTCTGAAAGTAAAAGTGGGATAAGGAAGCAATCTTGCGTTCACTGCTTGAGTGGATTTCTGTTTGAAAATAAGCAGTGCTGGAACATAGTGGCAGCGTGAAATTTGCTTCAATTTTGATTGCAAACTTCCGACTCAGATAAAAATGATGGTTTTTATCAAAATTTTCAAATGACTTGCTAGCCTGGTACAAATCTCAACAAGTTTTTTGCGAACTTTTGATCATTTTTTTGATATTAACAGTCTGATTTTTCCCTCAGTTACGTTGGTTTCATCCACGATTTTTCTTCCATGATTCACTTGCGAACTTCTTTCTCTTCCTCACTCTGAACGAGGCGATTATACCGGGAGATTAACGTCTCAATCAAATTTAAGTACATTTTAGACAACTGGACGGTGAGCTGCTTCCGCTTTCTTCAATTTTTTGAGCAACAACATTTGAGTGAAAGCCTGCAGTAAGATTATGCCTCTGTTTTTGTGTGAAATCCGAAGGATTGATATAAGAATGCGTGCTGACATTGAATAAAGCCAATAAGGAAATCTCATTAAAGCCTTTGTTTGCCTAAATCGTTCTCAAGTCAACAAAAAAGATTTCCTTAGTCTAGACTATTTGATTGAATCCTGGGGTGTTTGCAGTGTTGCTCCTCCATTGAATTGTTTGAGAAATGTTGCAGACTGTTTCTATTCTCGTAGGGGCTGTAAATTACAATGCAAAGCTTTGCTGCTTCTAGAAATAAGTTAAAAATGCAAACGGATACTTGCAAAATGTGTCGTAAGCACCTGACATATGTCAGCGAATGTAATATTCTTTTCGTTTTTCTTGAAAGAAAAAATCTTGTGTGAAAAGTTGAAGCTGTGAAAATGAGAGAAATGAAGGGATTGAGTTACGTTTTGCAGTTTTTGAAAGTAGAAAGCTAGTAAAAGTAGAAACTGAAAAGCCACTTGAGAGAAGGAATCTACTGGGAAGTAATGAAGCTAGAAATTTCTGGAATATTTCAATTTTTCGAGTAGTTTCTTTTTTTTGAGTTTTGAAGATTTTTATAATCTACTCCAATGGAAATTAGCGAAAATTTGTTTTTGTCCTTTCGTTCAGGATTCAAAATCGAAATATTCTAGAAAATTTTAGCTTACATATTTCCAGTAGATTCCTTCTCGCACTTTTCGCTTTCCGCTCTCAAAAAATCCAAAACGTGACTCAATCCCTTCATTTCTCATTTCCACAGCTTCAACTTTCCGCACAATTTTTTTTCAAGGAAAACGAAAAGTTTTTGCAGGAGGTTCTTTTTTGAATTTTGAACATTTTTGTAAGTGCTCTAGTGAAAATTGACGAAAATTTTTTGTCCTCTCGTTGAGGGTTTCTTATGTTCACAATGATTGGAAAATTGTAGGTATTGAATAACAAAAAAAAAACTACCTGCAATAGCTCAAAATTTTCTAAAAGATTTGGAAATGAATTTTTTTTTTTGATATTCTGAAACTTTAGATGAATAGCCTGCCAGCATTCATTCACCGCAAAGAATAGAATCGATAGAGATCTTAGCTTTATTTGGCCACTTTATATTTTTTGTTAGAAAAAAATGTGAAGCATGCTTCTATGAATTTTTTCTGCTTGTGCTGCCCCATGTGGAAATAACTGCAGGTTGCTGAAGTGTATATAAAATGCATGAATGCATTGCACATGCAACGTGTGTGTGTGTGCCCCGTTTGATGGCGGCGATTGATGTCTGTGAAAATTGCATGAAAAACTCGGGGCATAGCTGTGCACTTTCGTTTTGTGTCGTGTATGACACAAAATTGTAGAGTGAAAAGTGGGAGAGCGAGTACTTGTGAAATTGCTGCATTTTTCGGATTAGGTAGGGTTTGACGAGTGTACCAGGGGGTTGGTTATTCACCACAGCTTTGGAATTGTGCCAAGAAATTTTTTGGTCGAAGTTTAGCAGAAAGAGGGGATGCATTATACATGGGAAGTTAGTTGATATATCATAACTTTTTCAAAATTTTTAATTTGTACCAACCAATCGATATTCGTGGTTGTATGCACCTCCGCTTTCAATTTTTTTAAACTCAAAGTCATCATTTTACTGCAGCCTTTTTAAATTTTGCCAACCTGTTGAAGTTGGCGTCTAAAAATTCGTAGGTATCTGGTTTGCCGATGTGGGAGCTGTTTGTAAGGCTTCAGCTAAACCGTTGCCTTTGGCAGCTAGATTTATTCGTGGCTGAAAAATTCAACTTTGAGTTAATGCCCATACCGTGCTTTTCCTGGCGCTCAAGCTAAGATTACGGTACTGGGCGAAAACCTAGAAGAAGTTCTCGACCACATACATGGGCTTCAATGTGGATACCTCAAGGCCATCCATTTAGCGTCGTAAGTCCGGAAACTACTTCCTTCAACCATATGAAAAATTTGGCGAGCCAATTTGAGATTTGCAGTTTTTTCTTGTTATTATTGACATGAAAAGCCCAACATTCGTGCGAACTTAGCAGAACTTCATTCAAACGTTTGATATTTGGGCATTCTAAGCATATGCACAATTTTTCTACGTGTCTTCTTGAAATATGCTACCAAAATTTGCATGTTAACTATGTGATATAATAGCCTGTGAATTGCTGTGTTTTTCTTGTTCATAAAAACGAAGACCTTAGAAGCAGCTATCGCATTCTGAAATTGCCAGTCTGCATGCTTATGGGGGAAATGAAGTAGAGGAAGCGGGGGGGGGGGGCAGACAAGAAAATGTTCAGCTTTTTGAGAGCAGTCATCTTATCGTAAGCGCGGCTTATTAGTGCTCATGATTGCTAAAAACTCTTTATTTTCCGAGGTCTTCGGGGACATTTTGGGTATCTCTGCTAACATGCAATACAAATATGTATCTCAAAATGAACTAGAAAAGCCAGAGATACTAAAAAAAATCTGGTATTTTTGGTCAATCTGCTGTAACCATTTACTTTCTAATGTACCAGTGGACTCCTTGCAATGAATGAGTTCGGAAAGAAAATGTTGCTTCTCGTACAATACATTCAATTTGACAAGTAAAGTAAAGTAGTCTTTTCACATAGATCCATTGCCCATAGTAAACAATCCTGTCGCACGCTTTGTTATGAATTGATGTTTGAAAAATGAATGCTGTTTGAAATGTTCAGGCGAGGAAGTAGGGATTTTTGGTTTGGAATGAATTGAAGTTTGAATTCCAAAAGAATTATTTCATCCACTGTTTGTACGACATTTTACGTGTATTTGAATTTCGATTGCCCTAGTAATGATTTTTTCGATTTCTTAGTTTTTTTTACGTCCTTATCTCTTTTTTTTTAGCGGAGATCCCTCTTTTTTTGCAGCTAGCATATTTTCTGAGTTTTAGAAAATCTGAGGTTTAATACTGAGTTAATTATTCCGAAACATGTCATTTCCGGCTACAGTATCCCATATTTCATTTCATGAAGATTACTGTGTTGCATGTACTAGCGCACTAATTCCTCAGTACTTCTTACGTCAATGCTAAGCGATGGTTAAATTCACGGTTGCTAGGCAGCTGTGTGGCTGCTGTGAGAATTTCATGATTAATCAGAATCCCCGCATTTTCTTGGGAAGTATAGTTTACAAAGAAAACCAGGAATGGGGGGGGGGGGGTTTCAGACGAGTTTTGGCTGGAGCTTTCGGCTTTGCATTTGATTATATTCAATTGGCCAGAGATCGTGCAGCGTTGCGGGCCAAACATGAAACTCCCCAGGGGAAATATTCGAGAGAGGCTGAAGTGGATTGACAGCTTGAGTCACAAGTGGATTTAGTTCCTTAATACGATCGATGAGAGGCTTGCTCGAAAGTGACGGGATTTTCCCAATTCTTGGGGCTTCTTTTGAAGGTTTTGAAGTGAGTTTTTTGCCCTGCCCTCACGCCTCGCAATCGACTCTATTCCTTTCCTTTCCAAAAATAGTATTTTGGCTTTTTCTCTGTAGAAATGTTGCCGAACATGAGAACTGCTCCTTGAGTGGATAATCCGGAGAAAATTCAATGATGTTCGAGTGCCCTCCTCGCTAGCTCGTTAGCGACCGTTGCCGCCTGCGTGCATGTGTAAGTGTGAATATTCGATGATGCGGTGCTGGAAAGAGAGAGCTAATTTGCAAATTTGAACTCCCTTTCCTTTCGTCTTTGTGTTCTGCGCGTTTACAATGCCTTGTCAAAGAGGACTTCTGACATGGGGAGGGGGTAGGGGAAAGAGACTTACATTCGCTGGAGTTGCAGGTGGAATTTGCTAATTTTCACCTACAAAATAACCTCCAGTTTTTACTCAAATAATTGGACAACCTCATCCTCAAGAAGATTTGCATTCGATAACTAAGTACGTACTTACTGAAGTTACATTGCAATATAGCAAAGCGTAGTCTACCCATTGAGGAAGTGAAAATTCATTGGTGAACAGCTATTACTCTGAAAGCAGCTGTTTTACAGTCTGCCCCAATCGGGATCAGGCCGAACCGCCGGCTGATTTTGCGCGCTCGCAACGCTAGGGGTCTGCGCTGCATACGCGCACTGTCGCAGAGAGCGAAGAGATTGAGGAGAAAGCAGACTGGCTAGCCGTAGGACGTGACGCAATACCCTCGCAACACGGGTCCCGCCATGCCAATTTTGGCCTGGTTGGGATTGGGGCAGACTGTACATGGAAGTGCATACTACATGAGTCACCAATGCGCACATTACGCTAGCGGCGGTCAACGCGCGGTGCGGTCTTCTAGCTGTCTGCGCATCTGCTTTTTATGTTGTCTCTCCGCGACTCGAAGGCAGCATAACCGCATCGCGTGTAAAGCTCGTTGTCTGCGTCGCTCATTTGAGCACAGAATTGTTGCTATATCAAATCATCTTACAATAATGTATCCCTTTGCATAATCGAGGTTTTTTTATTATTATTGAGTCTTGGAGTTTTTGAAGTGTCTTCTTTGAAAAAGGACAACAGTTGGAAGTTTTGAGTTTGAAAAAAATATTTGCGCTTTGACGCGCTAGCTCGAAAATTGTCTCTGTTATAGGCTAGACTGTTTCCTGAGACAAGATATGGCTTTTTAAACAACTTGTAAGGCAGACGACGGTCACAAATATAGATTTTTTCTTTTTTGAGTTCTGCAAAATCTCAACAATAAGCTATTTGCATAAAAAAACGCGTGAACGTTTTTGACTTCATTTGTGCGGGTAACTGTGACTGCAAGGCATTCATGACTCTTATGAAATATTCGCAAGTCTAGAGTACAAAAATTAGTTTTTCAAGGCCCATGGGGTTGTACAGCTCATTTCAAATGTCTATAGTCATTAATTCTCTAATTGTTAGCCAAACATGCGGAATTATTTACAAGCTAGCGTGCTGAACGATTTTTACTTCCCGTTTAGCTCGCAACAATGAAATTGAGAAGTGAAAAATACAGCCAAGCCAAATCAACTGCATTTCTGTTCAGGAAATACGACTCGAGCAAGAAGAAGGAGCGCCATGCACTGCGATTCGAGAAGTTTCTCTATTGCGGAATCTTCGACATGCAAACGTTGTCACGCTACATGACATCATACATACGGATCGATTGCTTACTTTAGTACGTTTTCACAGCTTATCCTCCTCGCCGGGGATTTACGCGTATTTTTCCCATTCGGAGTGGATTTTTGAGTAGTTGTTATTGCCGCTCGCCCATCGTGTTCACATGCGTAGAACGCGCTCTTGATTGCTTCCTCTCTCCCACTCTCGCACGCCATAGCGTGAACAATGAAAAAAAAATGTTGTTTTTTTGGGGTGAATAAGAGGCGAGTAGGGGGGGGGGGGAGAAGAGAATAACACACTTTGTGCTTGGCAGCTGATTATTTGAGTGTTGAATAGCCGCTTTCGTTGGTAGCTAGCCCCTTGGAACAATGGGGATCATATTTGCGCAGCCGGCTTGTTCGACCGATAGCCCGCATTCAGCAGGGTGGATTGAGACAAGAGCTGATGTATGTGAAGTGGGGAATGGGGGTTAATGGAGAACCTAAAAATTTAGACAAATGATTTTGTCCAGGTTTGCAGGCGGTATTGGAATCTGTTTACGATAATTAGTAGTGTGAACTTGCCTTTTTTCCATGCTTAATATAGGAGAGAAGTAGAAGGCTATAGCTAAGTGGAGGTAATAGTCTGTTAGGATTCGGGCAGAGTTCACGCGATTTCATCGTCGCGAATCATCGCGACAAGACAACTGTTACGAGTTCATTGCCTGCCGGTCTTCTTGTATTTCGGTTGTGAGATGTTAGTCACGATTAGTGTGTCGGAAAACTATCACAACCGAAATGCAAGTAGATCGGCATGCAATAATATTGTTACAGTTGTCTTGTCACGATCAATCGCGACGATGAAATCGCGTGAACTCTGCCCGTGGCCTTGGAGGCAGCGCTTGAGCCAATCTAGATTACTTGCACTTCTGATGTCCACAAGAATTATTGTAGGCTTTACCGAAACCTTAAGCGGCAACTTAGAATTCAATCATGACCGAGAAATCTAGCTGCGAACTTTTTCCCAATACCATACTAGAACATACAACAACGTCAAAAAGAGTATTAGCTGGTCGAGATATCAGAGTTTCACTCTTTGTCTGCGAGCAGATCATTGGAGGTGCCGCTTAGGGAATGGTTCAGTGAAGTCCTCATAATCTTTATAAGATTTCAAGTCCCCATTTTTGAAAGCTGTTATCAGCCTTGAGAGCTTGGAAAAATTTGTATCTGAGTGACTGCCATATTTTCTCCTAGACCATATGAGTGTATCCATCTAGTTTGAGGGTTCAGAGATGAATTTACAGAGTGAGTCTAAGATTCAAGCAATTCCGAGTACCAGTTAACTTTGGCATACCATGGGATTGTTTGAACTCGATCGAGCTTCTACTAATGTAGTAAAAATTATGAATATGCTTACGCTCGATTTGAAAGTCTATTTGCAGCTCTGAAGAAGGCGATATAGTTTCCACTATCCTGGTAGAAGCTTAACCACATTGTACTGATTTCAAGATTTCTCAGCTTTTCAAGCGGATGGGCTAGTACCAATAATTAACAAGGGGGTGTGGATGGTCTTCAATTCGTATTATTTATCATACTGTCATAACTGTCTGTATTACTTGTGTTTGTCATCTCTGCGTCATGCTCTTATTGCCCCCTCCCTTTAGGAATTTAAACTCAATTTACAGCAGTTTTTTGTGAGCTTGCGCCAGTATGACTCTTTTGTTGTTTTTTTTTTTGAAGTCCTCAATCAGGCTTTGTCGTCATCCTATAAAAAAGAGTTCAAATTTCAACATCTCTTTTCCGTTATTCTCACGTTAGCCGCAGAATGAGAGCGATGAATTGGTGGTAATTTCTGGAAGGAATGGTACTGGGGAACTTGAGATTTGGTTGAAAATATGCAATTTCTGTAAGTCCTTCTCATGATCTTTTGCATTTCAGGTCTTTGAATATGTTGATCGAGATCTCAAACAATATATGGATGCTTGCAACAATGTATTAAGTATGAATAATATTCGAGTGAGTTGATTTTCTGATTCTGAAGTTCTAGATCTTGAAATGACAAAATATTTTTGCAGCTATTTCTCTTCCAATTGCTTCGCGGTCTAGCGTACTGTCATCAAAGACGAGTGCTACATCGAGACTTAAAACCTCAGAACCTTCTAATCACGGCGAAAGGCGAGCTAAAACTGGCCGATTTTGGATTGGCTCGAGCCAAGTCGGTTCCTACGAAGACGTATTCAAATGAGGTTGTCACGTTGTGGTATAGGCCTCCGGATGTGTTATTAGGTGGGAATCCGTGGTTTTTATTTTCTTTATGCAAAATTTGTGGGAAATTGTGAAAGTGAATTCTGCATTCGGTTTGTATATTTGTGAAGAAATTGAAAATCTCTATTTATCCTAGCTTTTTACTTATGCAAACGGAGCGCGATAAAAAAATAGGTTCCACAGCATTTTCTGAGTTCCTCATAAAAATCCTTTTCTATGAAAAATTGTGTTTGTATTAGAAATATGGTTATGATGATCTTTCAAGAGAAAGGGGGGTAAACCATTTTAGGATTCAGTTTTGCTTTACGACTAAAAATATTTGCTTCTGAGTTCTCATTTTTGCAAGAGGGGCCATAGAATCTTGAAAATTTCCATTGTTCTCTTTCTCCTCCAAAAACATTGCCTGCTTCATATCTATGTACATATAGGCTACTGCATAACGAAGGCGCGCAATATCTTTGGGCGCGAAGGCGGCTTTATTGGTCGCAAAGCGCATGAGGCGCAAGGTCTACAAAGGTGAAGATAAACGCGCGCCGCGTTCGCGCCCGCTAACTAATGCTGCTTCTGCGCCTTCGTCCTGCAGTAGGCCTTTATGTGGATGATGAGCACACTTGCGAAATATAACACTAATTTTTTACTTGGCAAAGCTTCATAAGTTTGCATGTGGCATATATCTGTTCCTCTTTTTAATTTTTCAAAAGGAATGGACTACTAATTAGGAGCGCAGATGTAAATCTGAAAGATCTCTCGAGTAACCTTAGCTAGGTTTTTCTTTCAAATCTAAGCGATCTTACTAATACTTAGGCTGCAACTTTCGCTCAAAATCTGTAGCTTGCAACTTTATTCTGAGAAGACATAAGAGCTTCTCACGTCCCTTAAGAGCCGGGCATACTTCACGCGATTTGGTAATATTCCAACTATCCATAACTCATTGTAAGCACATTTCAAACGTACAGAAGATAGGGCACATCAATCCACGTAATTTATGCACATTGTGCATGTACAGTTTGCGTGTTAGATCTGAGACTTCTGGCGAATTGCCAAATCGCATCGCGACTGAAATCGCGTGAAGTATGTCCGGCCCTTTAAGCACGCGCTGCACTCAATACATTTGATTCGCTCGATCCACTTCATCCACTTCGCTATTGATCAATTCAGTGAACTGGCCAATACCGAGGCGTTTACGTTTTGATCCACTTGATTCACTTGATCCACTTCGATATTGGTCAGCTCACCGATTCAACCAGCAGCGATGCGGATGAAGGGATGAAAAAGTGGATTACCCGGATTAAATATGGCCCTAGCTTATTTCTCATAGCTTTAATTTTCAATGCAATCTGTTTCTAAATTGCAAATTTTGTTGATAAGTTCTATCTGCTTCGTCAACAAATATAGCGAATATCTTTTCCTAAATAAAGGTGCCAGAGTTCCCTATTTTTATGATCTTTGTACTCGATTCAAAAGGTTTGAAATGTATGAAGTGGCAAAGATTATAGGCTTCATCTTGGGCTTTTCTTGACGCTCTCTATTTGAATTGATGGCTTTTTTGATGACATTTTTTTCTCGCATTCGTTCTCTATCAAGCTTCTGTCGCATGACAGCCATATATGAGACATGCATTTTGGAGTTAGTTGAGCACGTTCTCACGAATGCATGAAGTAATTAGTTTTAAGTAGTTCTGGAGCTTGCAGGGAATTTGCCGAGAAGTTCATGTCGTGCTTTTCTTCAATCAATAACTAGCTCTTTGAAGAAAAAAGCCAGTGCAAAAATTTGAAAACTGGTGTTTTTTCAGGATCTACCGATTATTCAACACATATCGATATGTGGGGAGTTGGTTGTATAATGTTTGAAATGATAGCCGGACGTGCACTTTTCCCCGGATCAACTACCGATGAGCAGCTAGGATTGATATTTAGGTAAGGAGAATGTTTTCGAGCAATTCAAGCAAAAATCGTTTTTGGTAGACGATAAGCACTGTTTTTAGGACACTTGGATCTCCACGAACGGATCGCCATGCGACCATTTGCGCTAGACCAGCGTATGCTCCATTTGCTCAAAAAGTCTATCATCCAGAACCGTTGTCAAGACAAATACCTAGGCTAGATGCAAATGGCCACGATCTGCTTTTGAGATTCTTGCAGGTATATGATTTGAAAATTCTTCGATTTTCTAACTAAACTAAATCTATTTCATTACAGTACGAGGGCAGGGACAGGATATCAGCACAAGATGCTATGTGCCACAACTTTATGAGGAGTCTGCCACCTAAGGTAATTTTTATTTTTTATTTTCTGCATTGGTCTTGATCTAGCTGCTCAATATTGCGCTTTTCCCATAGGGAAGGTCTTCATCAGCGTTTTTTTCCAGCTTTGGCTCAGTCCTATAGAGCTGGTCCAGGTTCTGAGCATTATTTTTTGTCCCAGTCTTTCTTCTTATATCTCTAATTGTTAGTCCTTGTATTTTTGACATTTTCCTCAAGTGATCTTCTTGAATTCTGGAGATCTTTGCACATCTTAGAAATCGTAATTGCGGTTTGCATGTGGGTAGAGTTGTGCACTTTAAAATAACAACTCCCACAAAGCGTAGGTAATATGAGAATCATAATCCAGGTGCGAGCGCACAATATTATCTAAAACAACAAACAGAATTCAAGAAAACCCTTTGAGGAAAATGTCAATAATACCCGGGCTAACAATCAGAGGTATAAGAAGAAAGACTTGGACAAACAAATGTCACAACAGACCTCCTGGTTCAAAAATTGGTTCTGTCAAAGGCATATGTTTTCACTGTACTTTATGTATACCATTTCAATTATGAATGGTCGAATGCCACCGTCAGACTCCTCCTTCGCGGGGTTATGATCTTCATACGATATGCAAATAGCCTGCGCGAAAGGACCAGTTGTCCATGGAGGCGCCGATCGGCAAAATCTGTCCCTCCACCCATTCCCCCTACTCCCTCCCCGCCCGCTGTTACAATATACCTCTTCTGTCATGTTCTATCTAAAGCAAACCCTTTACATTTAGGTAATGTCATTGAAAGACGATGAATCGGTAATGGACGTAGAAGGTGTAGTACTTGATCGTGAAATAATTTCCTACAAGGATCACAATCACCTCCACAGACCGACGAAAGCTTCACGACGTCAAAGTCTTTTGATATGACGTCTACTGAACGAGCGTCCAACCGTACAACCTGTCCAGCACAGCCCTGTACGTTGGTGACGTCACACAGTTATCAAAGCTAACTCCTCGTCTATGATCTGAGCTCAGCTATGCGGGTCTAAGAACTGTGGAATTTTCTGGTCGTTCCGTGAATATTTCGCATTATATCGGTTTCATTCTTTCGTCGTCTAATTTTTTTCCGTACACTATCCAGCTTTTTATTCTATATTTGTCTGTATTTGCAGACTTGACCGTTAGTTTACACGTGGTGAAAACGTGTAGATAGATGACATTCAAAATCTTATACTCTGTGTTGTGACTGTGACAAAGTTCAGGATAGTTTTCGTCTTTTTTCCAAGCATTGAGCAGCCAGGCTAGTTCTGCCGCTGAAATGATTGTGCAGGTAGTGTTTATACTCTGGATCAGCGAAAAAAAAGCAAAAAAGCGGTTTTAGGTACAGTTGCAGAATTTATCCGAAAGTGCATGCTTTGGCTATGAATACTGCATTTTATCATAAAAATTCTATTAAAATTTCATGGATTCTCACTATTTTAAGAATTACTCTATCTAATAACAGGGAGACGCAGAAGATTAGCTAATTCGCTCATCACAATTGCAGAGCCAAAAATCTGATTTTTACCTTCTCAAAGAAATGAATCTTCGTTATTTTTCCCAAAATTGTTTTCCCAACGAAAAAATGAGGTATTTTTCTTTGTCTAAAAATAATAATCGCTATTTTGCTGATCTTCACCAGGGTATAAGCAATGCCCTCCTCAAAGTTGCGTAACGCGGGTTAGTTGCCACGAACTTCTCTTCATTTTAATGGTTATTTAAAAAAAATTCTAGGAACGTGTTGTCTTCGTTATTTCCCGAGTCCGTGCTATACTCTTTCTCCCCCAGAATCGAAGATCTGTGATGCGTGTACTTTTTCTTTTTCCCTCCATTGTTGAACATAATTTCCTCAACTGATATATGCTTAGGATGTGTGTTTGTTTAATGTGTAGTAGATGTTTCAAAATAGGACCAAAATCGACGAAGTTCATTGCTCTACCTTCCATATTCCATATATATCAAGAACTCCATGTCCTCACTTTCAACCAAATTCCGCCGTTTTTGTACCCTAATGCTTCTTCTTTTCTAATTTTCTTCCCCAAGACTAACGCGTCTTTCCATTTGTGTTACTGGTTAGGGTACTGCGTATGTATACTTGTTTTCACAAAATTCATTCTTGCAATTATTCTCTCTAACATCGGTTATAAAATCTGTGAGCTGTGAGTGCATAGTTGTTGGTTGAATTTCGTCTACATGATTCCAGTCAGAGTTCAACGATGACGGTGTTAACATCTTTTGAAGCAAGTATATTTATTAGATATTTATGAATAAATTATCTCGTGAAAAGTGCTCTTCTCATTTCTTGTAAGATTGTTATGGGCAGCCTCATCTATCCAACTTGTTGACTAAAGACCTTTATGAAACTATAAGACTTGTCAGTAAGTCTTGTAGCGAAAAATTATCAAAACTTGCATGAATATGTTTGAAACAGTTTTAATTTACATCGTAAAATCTAACATATTCTAATTCGCTATGCTTATTAAAGGTTGTGTTCGAAACAGAATTTAGATACCGAGTTAGGAAGTGGAAATTAGTAATTGCTTGTAATAACGGTATCGATTGACACAAACTTCTTTCAGCCAAATAGTAGCTAGTGAAACACTCAGAACGGAACTGTCTCCAACCTTTCAGCCTTTTTGTGACCAAAATCGCAATTTAAGTGTGCGATTGAGAAGCTAAGGCAAATCCGCATACGTTTGGGGAGAAATGGGGAAAGGAAAAGAATGGTTTTAACAAGTCGCCAAGCAGTGGTCTGGCACTCAGTTCGAGCGCTGTGATGGAAAACTGTTCCCGAACTTTTAGATCAGTATGAACGCAGCCTTAGTGTCACAATGGTGCACTTAATTGTGTCATCGAAGGTAAAAAGACGAGTTGCGCCAAAACGTACCTCTGCGTGTTGATTGCACTAGTAATAAATACAGACACGTCGATAAATTTGGAAAATGCTCAGTGATAGACAATATCAAATATATATGCAAGATTTGAGAATGTAGCGTTGTGGCGACTCTGTGAGCTTGCGGCACCTAGATAAAATCCCGAGGCCTAAGGCTTGCCCGACAATAACGCAGTCTTATCTCGCCTACATCCCATCCAACGACGACTAAAAAATACTGAGTTGGGCAACTTGTCTTAATGGCATAACACTAGAGTTCCAAGAAACAAAAACTAAACTACGAAACCAAACTACTACTTTTGCCTAAATGAAATCAATAAACACGGGACGAGACCTGCTCCGTGCTACCGACGAGCGAGTATAAGTCAACCGCAACGCACATAATTCTTGAGGGTTTACGTAACAAATTTACCTCCCGCTCCTACATCTGCGACCTTGATTTTACAGTTCCAACTTCGACTCAGTTCTGATGCAGTCTTACTATGGCGCGGCTCGAACCCACCAACTAATAAGATCCAAAACATCTTCCACTCTAGCTCAACTGCTCTTTCTAGCAGAGGGCAGGAGCATATCAAAAGTCTAAAACGTATTTCGAATATAGAATATGAAATAAACGAGGATTTAACAAGGCATCAAACTGAGGTGCCGATGTTATTTATAGTAGCGTGGCAGCGAACCAACAAGGGAGAGGTGTGGAGACGATGGCGCGCGCCTTGGCTATTGTAATTGTCGCCGGATAGTGCAGCAACCTTCTGGCCTCCGTGCTTCGAGAAGCGCTTGCATCGGGATATGCGATAAGCATGTTCAAGCAAGGTGTTGGTCTTAAGCCTGAGGCATACTTACCGCGGCTTCGCCAAACCGCCGTAAACAAACAAAGAGATGGAAGTCCACAATTGAAGAAAGAATACTCCAAGATATTCCAAAATTACTCACTAACTACTAACTACTCTTTTCAACCGGTTCGGGGCTAACAATAAGAACTCCGGTAGTGTGGCTTTCTTGACGCCCCATTATTAGCAGTTCTCAAGGAAGCTTCAATACAGTATGACTACTAAGGGTTGTTTCATAATGCCGCACTGACTGCAGCAGACTGCAGCTGACCGCAATCGCAACGGCCGCACAGTCTTTGCATCCTTTCGTAAAAGAGAAGACAGTTGCGAATACATCAAAACACCGTGGTTTACGCCTAGAAACTTCATAGGTTTCTTACTTACTCTTCTCAATTAAATTTTGGCGATTGTTTTTCTTTAGTATGCTCATATTCGTTCTGATTCCTTTTGTAATTGCATACACCTATTCTACTCCCGCTCGTGTTGTCTATTGGGGCATTATTGTCAAGAGTTTGTTTGAGCTACAACTATTTATCCTCTCTACCTTCACGAAAGGATGCAGCAATCTGTGCGGCCCCGCGGTCATTGCGGTCAGCTACACTCTGCTGCAGTCTGCTGCGGTCAGTGCGGCAGTCTGAAACAACCCTAAGATTTGGTGAACAGCAGAAACAGCTAAGAAGTTGAACAATTTCACAAAATATTACCAGATGCAACGGCAGAGAGGGTGGTAAACACGATCACGGACAGAGTGATAAACACGATAGTACGCATCCATTGAATTTGAATTGACCTTGCTCATCCGGCGCTTGTCTTTAGTCCACGATTCTTGTAGGCGATGCATCAAAGGGAGATGAATAGCCGTAGGAAAACTGTACTTGCGTAAGATGAATGGCTGGTCATGTAGTTTGGTATAAGATATTTATGAAGTGAATACCTTCCCATCCATTATTTTTTGATATCACACCTAGGTCTATTACTCTATGCTCACACTCTATATAGCTCTGAGTACTTTTGATGTAAAAGTATTTATTAATATGTACCTAGGTATGTTAGATTGCCAGTAAGGATACCTAATGACTCTAAAATCATAATCATCTGTTTCATTGTACAAAGTAAGCATAACAGTATTTTGGTCACTAGGTATTCATAGTCAAGTCTAAAAAGGTTGTTATGTTTGTTTTTTCTATCTCCCGTAAACTAGGGTAGATATCGGATATGTTTCTCTCAAATTCCGATGCATCTTTTGATACATGTAGAATGTCGTCTATATATCGATATGTGTGGTTGAACATGTATGTATCCTCTATGGTCACGGGTGTTTTCACTACTCTTCTTATAAAGTCATATTCCATATAGGGCAAAGTTAATTCTGCAAATTGTGGGCTGCATGAGGCTTCTTGGGGAATACCTCTTACTTGTCGATAGTTCCCCAAAGCACAGATAACTTAAATTTAACAGCGAACCTATCATGTAGAGCACGTCTTCCTTTGAAAATCTTACCATGTGCTGTGTCTGTATTGGCATATGAGACTTTACCGCTGTATAGTCTAATGTATTTGGAGTCTTTCATGCACTTGTTTATGAGTTTGGTGAGATTTTGTCTAACAGTGCTTGTGTCATACAATTTACCGAAACCACGGTAAGCAGTGGCCGTAGCTTTCTGTCAACACGCGGTCTAAGCCCAGTTGGAAGGGAGATAGAGCGTATGCACTAGCGATCATATAGGAATAGAGTACCCGACAAAGAATGCGGCCCTCTTTGCTACCAGAGAAGAAAATTTCGCAAGAATTCTGTCTATAACATTAGGAGAACATCTTTTTCAACCAAATTGTTTCAAAGATGAAGTCGCTTTTACCACTTACAACAAAATATTAGCTTTTGATCTACGCTGAGCGACTTCGCTTCTTATCACTTTTGAGTAATAGACTAAGTTGTGCTGCCAAAATTCCTATCATGGTGTCTTTATTGCCTCGTATATTCTTACTCCACGTATTACTACATTAATGAGCGAGGCAAGTAGTCGCAAACATCCATTCTAGAGTCTGCGTAGTCTGCATAGAGAAAGAATAACCCGGTGACTGACGCGCTATAGCCACATATCACATTCCAAGCAAACGTTTTAATGGTATCAAATTGTGCCAAGGAACATAAGAGTTAGTCTTTCTAACAAGCTCAATGATATCACGAGTACTTTTCGCTCGAATGTAGTAAATCTTGTCTGGGCCCCTCCTTCCTATTTACGAAATTTTTTTTTATCAAATCGAAGCATTGAGGTTAGAACTCCCAAATCTTAAGAGGCAATAATGTACTGTCGCTTCTGCGCATTATATTTGTTAATCGGAGCACTGCAAAAAGTTTGTAAATTTGGTGATTGGCAATATGAGACGTAGTTTCTGATAGCGAGAGAGTAAAGAACAATGGTTTGAAGTAAAGTTGAAGCAGTGGCTAGTCAAATGGCCGGAATTCAAATCAAGAGGAGAGGTAATACCGTGTGAATTCTCAAAGTTTTGCCTGCGTACAGAGCACACTTCGGCTGTCGAGAAAATTTGAGGTTTTTTCAAGAAATTAAGAAGCCAAATTCTGATTTGACTACAGCATTACGACGCTAATGGTGATAAAAGCAGATGCATGCTTCAATCGTTATCAGGCTCGCCTTGTATTCTTTTGACACCCAAGCAGATGCGCACCAATAATTTTGGTGCCTCTGTATGTATAATCAATGACAGAATTGTTACCGCTCAATATAATAAAACAGACTACTTCGTTTTCAAAGTTAACAAGTTTACTCACTTCAAATCACATATCAGCCTTAATGTCAAAGTTGCTATTATTTACGGTAAAGTTCTGGGAATTTATAGGACCTGCAAGAATTTGTAAACTTTGCTGAAAGGTCAGAAATACTTACAGATCATCTTTTTCGCTTTACTCACAAGTACAAATACCCCCTAAGACATATCCTCCTCATTACACTACTCTTCCCTGACGAGCCTCGGAAGTGGTTAACACTATGAGAACCTGTAAAGGGGTAGAGGCGAGACGGGCATAACGTTCCCTTCACATTGCCATTCACTACTTACAAGAAAAGGATACTTGGTGAAGTGGCGTTTTTCTATGAATTGTATACCGTTTCATAGGCATAAAACGCTGGTTCCAAATCTGCTTCTGTTATCTGCAAAGCGTTTCTGAGAGGAGAGTTCTGGGAATTTTTGACGCAAAGATTTCAGTTTCGCAAATACAATGAAATCACTTGAAACTGTAGTCTGTGAGCTCAGATGGGGCCATGATCACTGCCAGTGGGCATGTATCTAATATCTTTAGTTTGATAAGGTTATGCCATTTATTGCTTCTTTCAAGCGCCAGACGGATCTCAACACTTGTTTTAGCTTAGCCAAACCCTTGAATTTCTGCCTCAAAAAAACCATAACTCTCCTCTCAGAAGGGCCCTGCACATAATGAAGGCAGATTTGGAATCAGCATTTCTTGCCTTATAAAACGGTATACATTTCATATGAAAACTCCATTTCGACCAAATATCCTTCCCTTGTTAGATTAAGAAAAGAAGTTACTGGGGTAGGAACCTTTGATGCAATGCGCCAATGAGGCATATGGGCGATAAAGACTGGGCGCTGTCGCGTTCGACCAAAATAGTTCGTGAATGGAAGAAGAGAAGCTGGCAAAAGAAACGAAAGAACGCTTGATGAGAGAGGTCGATGCGTCCGCAGTTTTTGCGTGTTATGCGCCTACAGTCCGTGTCAATCACATGCTCCTTTCCCGTTAGCGCATTAAACTTCGCGCCACTTTTGCGCGCATATGGCACGGACATTCAAATTGGCCTCATCGAATGGAGGTCCGCACGGAGGGCACTTGTTGCGGGTGGAGGACTATATGTCGCCGAAAGGGGGTGGTTCCACGCAATCTACCACGAAGCAACCCCACACTAAAAAGACATACAGAATAGTGGTGTGTGCGTGGATCCACCCCTTTGCGTTGCGCATGCGTATTTCCCATGCACAAGGGAGTACGTAGTTGGAGTACGTAATTGACATTGACTCTAAACATTGCCCTTTCTCCAAAAATAATCAAAGAAGCTGGAAACTGTTACAAGCATAGCTCCTTCCATGCATAAACTTTTATTTTCACCGCATTCTCTAGCTTGGAAGTACTACGATAACAGTCTTACCAATGGGTGTGTTCCATGCGATCTAAACTGCTCTACCATGTATCGTCAAGTCATTTGTAACTCAATGTGCGTAGTGCACGCTATGCATGCCAAATGAGGAACTTCAAGACTAGAACCTGTTCATTTCCAGTGATTGCTCCTTGTTTCCTTGTCATTTCTTTTTGTTAGTTATATGTCAGTCAGTAGAACATAGTTCTACACTGTTAGGTAGAAAATGCACTGGAAAGTTACTAGTATTGGTGCCGTCGGTAATAGGGCTTAGTGTGCAGTCTCACATATTGAGTTAGAAATGATTCGAGGTTACTCAGACACCGGGAGCGGACGAGCCGCGGCCCGCCCCTTTCCGGCTGGAATTTCGCAGCTCCCGCGGCTCGGCGGAAAGTAGGCCTCGGATCGGCCGCAGGTGGGCCTCGGCTCAGTCGCAGCTAATTGTTGGGCTGTTCATAGTCATTCTAGCTCGGTCTAACTGGGCCTTGGCACACCTTTAATAGGACACCCCTTTGCCACTAAATCATATTAAATTTGATTGCCTAAACCGGACACAAACACTCAGGAGAACTGTCTTTTATTCACTGGCACATTAAAAAATACACAGTAAAAAACAAAAGTTGAAGCCACCGATGTAGCAGCTTCAGAAACCAAATCCGACTACAAAAATGGATAGCCATCCAGGTGTTTACAAACAAATTGATCTCGTTCCTGCATAGGAGACCGGAAACACATCCAAGACCATGGACATTGAGGGCAGCCTGACCATGCGTCGTACATCAAGCAAATTTCCTTTACACTAAGACACTAGGAGCGGCCGAGCGGCTCGGCCGAAGTTTCTTACATGGGTTTTGCTCCTCGGCTCAGCCGCTGCAAAATCTCCGTCTCATCGTTAAGGGTCGCGGCTGAGCCGGTGAACTCTCTCTCCCCCGCGGCTCAGCCGGTGCAATGATAATGATATGAAAGAAGTGCTGCGAGTTGGCCGCACCCCGGCCACGCCTCCAAATTAAGGCCGCGGGCGGGCCGGAAAAGCCTTTTGCGTCCGCGACTCGCTCCTAGTGTCTGAGTACTTACTAGGATCAGCTTCAGTTCATGCAAAACCCCCCCTTTGCGGAGATGCAGAAATGGAATTGGAAGGCACTCCTATCATGGAGACGTCTTCTTACTTGTTTCTCGGACGTTCGATGAACATGCAGAACGACTTGGGTTGTTTCAGACTGCCGCACTGGCCGCAACAGACTGCAGAGGACTGCATGACCGCACTGACCGCAAGAGCCGCAGAAATCGCTGCGTCCTTTCGTAAAGGTGGAGAGGATGATACTTGTAGCCCAAACAATCAACAACAATACATGCCTAGCAGTGGCGTACCCAGGATGTCGGCTCGGGGGGGGGGGGGGCCGACGAAAATTTTTTTTAAAGAAGGTGCGTGGCGTTAGCCACGCACTCCGAAAAAATTTTGGGGTGCTTCTCAAAATCTTTTCGGGTCCCCGACCTCTGAAATCTGGAAAAAGGGGGCGTGGCGTCAGCCACGCCCCCGAAAAAAAATTTTTTACAAGGCTAATTTGAATTTTTAAAAATTATTTTAATTATTTACAAAAATAAACAAGTCACTTACACATTTTTATAACCCATATAAGTAACTTTCAAAAATTTCGCGACCCATTCTCGGGGGGGGGGGGGGGCGCCCCCCCCCCCGCCCCCCCCTCGGTACACCACTGATGCCTAGACATAAGAGACAACACGAGCGAGAGTAAAACAATTGGTAAATTGTTTGATTGAGATTGAGAAGAATTTGAAATTTGATTGAGAAGAGTAAGTTGATACCTGTGAACTTCCTAGGCGCAAATGACGGTGTTTTGACCTGATCGCAATTGTTCTCTCTTCTACAACGAGCAGCGATCTGTGCCGCCGTTGCGGTCAGGCGGTCAGCTGCAGTCTGCTGCAGTCAGTGCGGCAATATGAAACAACCCCTTGAGGGAACTTAAAGGCAGCGTCTAGGGAAATCTGGACCTATGGGGATTGGATTTTACGTGGAAAGTAATTTTGGGGCCCTAACTAAAGCACTGCCCGAGCGGCAGCGCATGTGACTCACTAACGGCTGAGATATACACCTCCAAACTGGACCTCAGGGTCGTATTTCGCATGTTTCATGGCGCAACTCATCAGTTTCGCGCGAGGACCCACGAACTGATGGGTTGGCCATGAATCCATGCGAAATACGATGGTGACGTCCATTCTCGAGAGGAATATCTCAACCGTTACAGCACTATCTGAGCTGCCGGTTGGGCAGTGGCTTAGTTAGGGCTCCAAAATCACTTCCACATGAGGTCCCCATATGTCCAGATTTGCTTGGACGCTGCCTTTAACGAAAGAAGAGCAGCCTGAGCCGCCTTCGGGCCTCTAAAGGAAGCCACCGACCAACTGACGAACCCGTAACTTCGTGCACACTTGTTCGACTCAATCGTTCCGCCGCTCTATTACGCAACTGAGACTTGGGCCGACATCGTTGCCACGTTAATAGCTCTAAGGACCATCCACAGGGCGCCAGAGCGCAGTCTTCTGAAGATGACCCGACACAAACATCTTGTTGGACTTCGCAGTACGGGTCTGAGAAGAAACTCCCGTCTTGTGACCCAGCGAAATAAGTTGCGAATGCGAAGCATCAACCGGTCACATTATGAGAAGAAGAGACGACAGATGGACATTAAGAGCATTTGAGTGGATTCCTCGCGAAGCAAAACGTCCCCGAAGAAGACCTCCAACGAGCTGGGCAGACGTGCTCGCGGAACGGATGGACCAGCTGAGAAATTAGCTGGATACGAGTTTTACCGGAATTCGTGGACGCAGCCACCGACGTCATTCAAGAAGATCGTGAATGTCCGAAGCAGAGACGAGGAAAAATGGAAACCTCTGTGCTGAGGCCCGCACGTCACGTGAAGCCGGGCCTGTCGGGACCCAGCCCGGCGACAGCTGCTAGCAGGGGATAGAGCCATTGCCAGGCTCAGTGACGGTGGGAGCACCGGAGCCGACGGGCTCGCCCCACTTCCCCTCCCCCCTCCCCTGTGTAACACCCATATTTAATTAATTTTAATGAATATTTGTGATAACTCTAATGTACTTACCTCACGCCGCTACGCTCAGGCAAGGGTCCGTACACCCCTTGAACCTGACATGGAGATTCCGGGGAGATAGGTCTAACGCTAGGCTGAATTTTTTTCTTTTCTCTTTGGCTGGCACCAACTGTGATGTCACACTAGCTAAGTCTTCTCGCTAATACACTGCGCAACACATGTGGGGTAGCAATTAATATCCTCGGGAATTTACAAACATATGGCCGGTAGGATTAGCGTCCCAAAGGGGATTAGCAACTGTCCGCCTGACAAGAACATATACTCGATAGGGTTAACATTTGTATCTGTCACCTAGCTTACAATGCGTAACAGTTGATCGCGCATTAGGAGAATGTTACACCCTATAATTCTAATTAATGAGGGCTACATCTAATAGTCCCTACGCCGAATTTACACAAACTGTTTCTAAGCACATTACAACTACACCCTGCATAGGCATACGAACTCTGTGTAGGAGTTTTTTTTTTGAATTTAAAAACAGAAACAGCGTTTATTTCATTAAGATAACAATAACATGGATAACGAGAAATTGCCGTTTTATTTCTTCTGTTTCTGCCCGCCTTCTCTTCCAGTTTGTCTTTCAACCTATCTCCTCCAACAGTACCATTGAAGTAGACGTTCGACGTGGTTCCTCGCAACAGCGCACTTTCGAATCCAGGCGCATCGGAATTTCATCTCCCAAGCTCTGCACGCTCAGGCTCTCAAAGTGCAGCATCAAATTCAGTTTATCCCCCTTCCAGCTATCGCGTTCAGGGGAAACTTGTAGTGATAGTTGGAGCTCGTGCGAAGACTGCCTTAAAAACAAAAAGCAGGTAAAAATAGCAGTAGAATAAATAACTGAACTTACACTGCAGCTTCTTTCCGAGCGTACGCCGATCATACACTTCGACCTCCACAATTACCGTGAAGTCCGCTTGAATCCGAACATAAGTTCGTTTGACCTCGCCTCTCACTAGATGTGAGAGGATCCTTTCTTCCTTCAGGAATTGCTCCTCCAACATTGACACATCTCGCGTCCCCTTCAAGATGGGTATGAGTTTGCGAAGAGTGTAGAGATCTTCGGTCACCTCCATCACTTCCTTAAAAAAATTTTTTACATTTTTAAGATATACTGTTTTTTTTAGAAGTAAGTCTACTAACGTGAGATAACTGTGAACTTTAAACACTTACCCTGGATAATTCCTTATTTATCTTCCAATCAGAAAGTGACTGCTTTTCGAAATTCTCCTTTTCCGTCCTCATTTTGTAGTCCAAAATCCCTATCTGTCGGGTTTTCTCATTCAGTTGCCCATGTAGGTTGTCACAGGCAGCCCAGCCGTGCTTAGATGAACTTTAAAACTGATCCAGCGTTTTCTGCTTTCCCTCCAGTTGCCACTGGGTTGCAGCCAGGTGCCTCTCTAACCAGAGCTTCTCATGACTCGTTACGCTCTCTCAGCTAAAAGAAACATGAGTAACACTATAAAACTTGAGTAAGACTTCAAAATAAATCCAAACTCTTACCTCTGCTTCCACATCCAATGCAGCCGCAGATTCCTGGGGCTGCGGGGAGCTGCTTTTTGTACCCACCTGGCTCCAACGTTGGCTTACCAAATCTGGCTTCTGATCCACTGTTAGCTTGTGATCCACTGTGAGCAGACATCGGTAACTGGAAGGATGAAAATCAAGTGTGAAAACGAAATTTTGAATAGGAGTGAGAGAAAAGACAAGGGCAAGCGTAGTATGTGGATGTCGAAGACAGTGCCAGAACAATGTGCCGATGCCTGTACAATGTGTAAGCCTTAATCCTTACGGGGCCGTAGAGAACCAACCCACAGCTTCATGTAGAGATTTGGAGAGTACAGAGTACACAGAAAAAACTAGTGGATCTTGCAAGAATTTTGTATATTATCAATTTTAAATATAAAACAGTCAGAAAATTACACTTCTGAAGCCACCGTAATCTTGGTGTATGGTCCCGCCCGGGAATTACAACCACCTGTCAACCCGCTACCAGAAGCCACTTGTAAGCTCATTCACTCAGGGGTCCAACCAGCCGGTTGATCCCTCTCTTCTTCTACCTTCGCTCTACTGCCGCTCCAACCACATCTCGCCTTGGTGGATCTCGAAGAAGCTACCGTATCTGTCTGTCAACAACCAGCCAATTAATGAATACCTTGCAACGATAGGATAGAGGTGCGCTCTTCACAAAAATTGATCATTTTTTCTTCTCTCTTTATTGCATCTCATAACAACTACAAAATACATCAACAATATAAATTCTCCATTTGAAAATACAGAAAGAAATTCAAAAAAAATTCTTTTCCGCTGAGATTTTTTCCTTCGTATGAGCAGTTCTGATACTGATCTCAGTTCAGTCACTTCAACACGCATTCGTAAAGTTGTTGTTCACTATATCACAAATCGTTAACTCGTGTTCATAGTAGTTCAGATACTGATCCTAGTTTAGATACCCCAGAGCACGTTCTTAAAGTTGCTCCTCACGGTGCTATAAAACGTAGACCTCGTGCTCACTCTAGAATTTCGCTTAAAAGAGTGAAACAAAATAAAGTCCAACTTTTAATAATTGATCACGCCGCCTCTGCTCCTTCATTGCTAAGTTATAGTCCTTCACCTGCTTCTATTTCATCCAGCTCACTTGTTTCTTCTTCTTTCTCCTCAAAGAGGGAACTCTAACTCTGAATTAAATACTGTAGAATATAGTACGGTAATATTAGATCCTAGCGCTGTAGTAGTTCAACCTAAGTCAGTATAGTCTGCCCCAATCCCAACCAGGCCAAAATTGGCATGGAGGGAGCCCGCGCCGCTAGGTCTTCGCGGTCACGCCCACGGTCTGCTTCTCTGCTCTCTCTTCAATCCCTTTGTTTCTCCGACAGCGCGCATATGCAGCGCAGACCACTAGCGCTGCGAGCGCGCAAACTTGCGCCGGCGGTTCGGCCTGATCTCAAGTGGAGGCAGACTGTAGAAGTTCAATCCAGTACTGTAGCAACACAGCCGAGTACCTCTGAAAACCCTCTAGTACACTTATTTACTTATGATCATCCTACAGATAATTTTCAAGAGCAAAGTAGAGCACCTGACCACCTTTTCGAAGTTAAACGAGAACTGGTCCTCGAGCACGTTTCAAATTTTCAACAGTCTCTTGAGGAACAAATTGATGTAGTAGAAGGTACTCAACTTAATACAGTAGTAGATACCCCATCACGATCTTTTATAGTACAGCGAGAACTGGTCGCCAATCACGAAACTCCAAATTTTCAAGAATCTTTTATGCCACAAGTAAATACAGTAGTAGACCTACCAGTACACCCTTTTGCAATAAACCGAGAACTGGTTCCCGACCCCGAGTTAATAGATTATCAAGACCTTTGTAGCAAACGAGTTAATACTGTTGTAGAGCCTCCAGAACCACTTTTCCTAAAAATGAGAACTGGTCTCCGACCAAGAACCTTTAGATTGCCAAGGATTTTCTGTTGAACAAGTTGATAACGTTATTGAAACACCAATAAACCCTCTGGTCGAACAGGAACTGGTCCCCGAGAACGAATCACTACATAATCAAGAAATTCTTGCTGAACAAGTGAATTCGAGTGTAAAAACAGCACTTCACCAACCTCCACCAATACGAGAACTTGTCCCCAACGTAAAAGTTTTTTCTGCACTTATTATCAGTAAAAATTAGAATTTCGAAATGCAACAAAATCAGGTGATAGAACATTTGAATGCTATTTTTAATAAGATGTGTTTATCTTCATATGCAACCAAACTTCCAACATTTTCTGGGGAACGAGGTGGCAGTGCTTTGATGAATTTTTTGCAGAAGTTCATAGAAATTAGTAAAATTATGGGACTGACAGCCCCTCGGATGGCCAAATTGTTACCTGCACATCTTAAAGGCACAGCAAAAGCTGATTTTGATAACTTCAACGATGCACAGAAAGAAAATTGGGACACAGTTGTTGCTGCTTTGCGTTCACATTTCGCTACTAATCATTTCTTGGACACAGCGGGAGAAAAACTCATGGATTTAAAAATGAGGAATGGCGATTCACCAACTTTGTTATCCAGTACAGTAAGACGTAGCGTACTAGAAGCATATCCAGAAGCTAATGAGGAAGGCATTAGAAAAATTCTCCGATCAGCAGTTTTGAAGAACGGAATTTTACCAAAAATCAAACAAAAACTCAAACTATTGGGTCCGCTCCCTGCCGACCATGATGATTTGCTCAAAGAATTCGAACGTGTTTACGATTTGATCCAAACAGAAGAAAATTCTGTAGGAGATTCGCTGCTTATGGAAAAAGTAGACAAAATCCTCGATAACATGCGTTCAGCTCCCATCGCATCAGGAAATTCCTATAGACCCCCATACAATAATCCACAATTTCGAAGATTTCGTACACCGAGAAATACCGGACGTTACAAATCTCTTTTCAATCCTAGACGAAAACGATTCAATTCAGATAGACAATGTTAGATTCAGCTCTAACACCCGAGAAAATTCTCGTGAAAGATTTTGTTGCCGTTCACCATCCTTTTCGCAAAGAGACAGGTCGACATCTTTTTCGCAAAGGGACAGGTCTAGAACACCGCCCCGAAACTTTCAGAACAGAAACTCAAATCAATCTCAAAGAGGTAGAAATGTAAATTTCATTTCTACTAGCAGTTCATGGGATATGAGAGGAATCCTTAATCTCTTTTCCTAGTTTCCTAGTGACTTTGATTTGCATGTCAATTCCCTCCGTTTTGACACTTTCTCATACTTACCAAATATATGCTGCAGGAAAATCTGGTTGGCCAGTAGCCTTCCCAGAAACTACCTCCTGCACACATTCTACAAACGTTTCCGAAATTTTAATAACAACTGCCGCCATTTATGTAGAGAGGACAGAACCATACATGGCCAAAGCATTCCACTATTTAAAAAAAACCAGAAAAATTTCTGCTTCTTCGTACTTGCACATCTCATTTTCCGTTGATAGCGATGAAGAATTCATGGCATCAGTTGATCCTGATTTATGTACAACCTTGGCGGATACGAAAAAAATCATGGCTCAGCCATTAACAGTACTTTTTGGACACGTATTGCGTCAGACTACAATACTAATTACTCCTATCCTTGGTTTTTGCAAAATCAACAGCCTCATCACCACGTTCGCCAGCTACCTATAAGCTCGAGGACGAGCTTAAATTGGAAATGGAGATGTCGGGGACCCAGCCCGACGACAGCTGCTAGCTGGGGGCAGAGCCATCGCCTGAGGCTCAGTGAAGGTGGAAGCCGACGGGCTCGCCCCACTTCCCCTCCCCCCTCCCCTATGTATCACCCATACTTAATTGGTCTTGACGAATATTTACAAGAACTCTAATGTACTTACCTCGCACGCTACGCTCAGGCAAGGGTCCGTACACCCCTTGAACCTGACAGGCCATCTAAGTGATCTAACAAGGGAACCGTGTCGAGTCGAAGTGGCCTTTCCAGATGAGACCCATACTGCTTTGAAGAGTATTAAGCGGTGATTTCAAATCTGCCTTCCAAATCTGCCAAGCGCTCTGGACGCCGAGTTATGACCGTTCTTCGGAACGAGAATTGAATGCAGAATTTGGGTAAAATTGATTGTTACAATCTTTCTAGCGCTCAGATAAAGCATTGTTAAGTATTAGCATATTATATAAAATGTATCCATTGCATAAACAGCTCTGATACTTGACACTGGACCATTTGAGCAAATTTGGGCAATTTTGCTTCAGTTTTGCGTTCAATTTTTTGACCTGAAAAACGGTCATAACTCGGCGTCCAGAGGCACTTGGCAGATTTGGAAAGCAGATTTGGAATCACCGATTAATGCTCTTCAAAGCAGTATGGGTCTCATCTGGAAAGGCCATTTCGACTCGACACGGTTCCCTTGTAAGTAGAATCTAAAATCAGGTCCTCTGGAAACCCTACCACAAAAGAAGGGTTTTGAGCGTCTTGGAGATTTTCTACACAGGTGATTTTGACGACATCGTACTGATGTTGTTACCACAATCCTATGAGTACTTAAGATCAGCTTCAGTTCATGCAGAACGCCCTTTGCGAAGATGCAGAAATGGAACTGGAAGGCACTCCTATCATGGAAACGTCTTCTTTTGCGTTTCTCGGACGTTCGATGAACATGGAGAACGACTTGAGAGAAGAACTTAAAGGCAGCGTACATTGGAGAAGAATGGGTGATTCACTTCGTACGAGCTAAGTTAAAGCCAGCTCTACGATACGATTTGCAAAAGTTTCTTGAACAAGAAAATCATTAACGACTGTTCGCTGCTCTTTCCCGAAACACCCTGTATCTTAGACGTGAAATATGGTGTGTCGTGTAGTTAGAACGCGCATTCAACTTTGCGCCTACCCTGCGGCAAATGAAATGAAAATTTGGTCGGTAGAAGTATCTAAATTTCGATGTGTTGCGCGTGATTGAAGTTAAAATTTTTTGCGTCCGGAACCGACAGTGCTCGGTTGGCTCATATAGATACTACTAGTCCTTTTTGTAGTTTTTTAGTTGAACTTTCAAAGATACAATAATATTGTGACTTCCATAATCTTTTCTTCCCTGTTCTGTAAACTTAGGTTTCTTATTCGTTGACTGCCCAGGAATTTTCGATCATCTGCCCTTCCGTTCACTTCGCACTGTACCTCACCTTTGCCTCATTATCACTCATTTAGATGTCCGAAAAAATGGACGATCAACAAGCAGCGGCTCCGACTGCGTCTGGGTCGAAATCGGAGGAATCGGTAGCGCTTCGAAACTGGCAACTCGCTAACAACGTCACCGTCATGGATTCAGTTTATGAGTACGACGAAGTCGAGCAGAATGAGATGCGCTCGGCGAAGCCATGGCAAAAAGATCCACATTATTTCAAGGAAGTAAGTACATCCAAGCAGTTGTTTTTGTTTTCTTGTTTTTTAATTCACTTAGACGTTTTTTTTTGCTCGAACAAGTAACTTATTGGAGAATTCTGGAGAATTCGAGTTTTGCGACGCTTTCCAATAGTAACTGGAACCTTCTAGGACTGCATAGGTTCAAGCTTCATCCATATTTTACCAGAGTTACTTGTGTTACAGTTTTTGCTGCTGTTAAATGATGAAATGAGAAAAGCTCGCCTTGCATCTGTTCGGAATCAGGCCTCGGGCAAAGTTCACGCGATTTCTCGCCTTGTGGCCCTCCCAACAAGACAATAGTTGCGAGTTTATTGCGTGCCGTTGTCCTGCGTTTCGGTTGTTGTAGTTTTCCGAGACGACTAATCTGACTAACCATCACATGCAAGGTCATCGACAAGCAGTGAACTCGTAACAGTTCCATTGTCGGAAGAATCGTGTGGCGATGAAGTCGCGTGAACTATGTCCGAAGCCTTGTGAGGTTGCGGGGCTCATATCAATCAGCAACAGTGAAAGCAAACACAATTAAAACAAACATTGGTACTATTCCAGTATACCGACCCCAAAAATTAAAAATCTCGGATTTCGCTCAAACTCGGCATGGGGGGTTACTCGATCCGCTGATGCCGAATATCATATTGATTCCGTGCTATAGCGCCATTTTCCGGGGGTTACGGTGGGTGTACGGTAGGAGGTCAAAATCACAAAATTCTCTGAAACTTGGTGGAGGGGGGTTATTTGACATGCCGAACACGAATATGATATCCATTCGTTACGGTAGCACCTCATTCCGGGGTTACGGTGGGTATACTGTAAGAGGGTCTCATTCACTGCTTTCCCCACCCACCGCCGCGCGCGATACACCCTGCGGCGGCTTTTGCCTAAGCAAAGCAGGGGGAGGAAATTTCCGACGTGTGACTGAGATTTCAAGCCCTGAATCTCGATCTAGCGGTGGTATTGGCAATGTATATCCAACGTAACGTCGGAATAAGGCACTATCGTAACTTATAAACATCATAATCGTGATCAGCATGTCAAATAACCCCCATACCCGAAGTTTCAGCGGATATCGTGATTCTGTCCCCTTACCGTATACCCACCGTAACCCCGGAATGAGGTGCTACCGTAACGAATGGATATCATATTCGTGTTCAGCATGTCAAATGACCCCCCTCCACCAAGTTTCAGGGAATTTTGTAATTTTGACCTCCTACCGTATACCCACCGTAACCCCCGGAAAATGGCGCTATCGCACGGAATCAATATGATATTCGGCATCAGCGGATCCAATAACCCCCCTATAACGAGTTTGAGCGAAATCCGAGATTTTTGATTTTTGGGGTCGGTATACTGGAATAGCGCCGAAAAGTCTTGCATATGTTTGTTGAAATGTCTCGTCCCACATAGCACTATCTCGATCTGTTTGAATCATGAATATTATGTGACCATTTCCTACAAGTCGAACCGTCTCGGGGTAGAAGGTCTGACGTGAAACTTCCTGGACATGCTTGCGCCTATCGCTAGCTTTTTTACCCATAAATGTAATGTGAAGTGTAAGCACGTTTACAGGATCTAGAAACAGTTACTCTTACGATCTACACCGGTTTCGAAGGTTCTCATATTTTGTGCAAACAATCAGTATGAAGCAAATTTCCGCTAATTTTTATCGGACTTTCCATGAAAAAACTTTTTTTATTTGATTTTAATGAGCAATATGTGTTTTCGAGATTCAGTTGCACATTCAGGTGAGAATCTCTGCTGTGTCTTTACTGAAGATGGTTATTCATGCCAGACGAGGTGGGAACTTGGAAGTAAGTTAAGTTTGGCATCTGTCTTGTATTTCCATTGGGAGTTGCAGAGTTTCACCTAGAACATAGTGCTAGGATTGACGGCTATGTAAATTTCTTTTGTTAAAAATCAATCCGTCAGTCTCCCGATCATTTACCGGGTGCTGTTTTACCGTGGTAACGAGCACCCGATCGGGCTGTGAGCGTTCGCTCATAACGGCAATACAGCGCCCCATCAGAATGTAAGGTTGATGAACATCAAATTAGCTCTTTATTGAGTTCTTGTTCCGTATATAATGTGAGTGCTGAAGGTAATGGGACTGATGCAAGGTCGAGTTGACGGAAACGCTTTCATCATAATGGACACGTTTGCTTTGCCAGTGGAGGGGACGGAAACTAGGTTCGTTTCATATTGACCCGATTTTGAATGTTTCCAAAATGAATGCATTGTTCGTTAATATTTCGTTTTTTCCACTTTGCTTTGCTAACCACCTTCTTTAGTACATTTGCAGAGTAAACGCGCAAGCACAAGCATACGAGTATATGTCAGTTTATACAGATCTTTGTGAATCTGAAGGAAAGAAGGAAAAGGTCGGTCATTTTTTCCTTTCCTTTGCAAAACATACTTTCATCTTGGCAGTTTTTCGAATGACTGATTGCAATAATGTCATTTGCATTATTGAGTTCGAGTTAACAACCTTTTGCTGTTTTTTCTTTGTTTATAGTAAGGCATCAGGCCTCATATCTTATTGTTAGGTAGTTGGATGGTATCACTCGCATCCTGGTTATGGGTGTTGGCTATCTGGAATAGATGTTGCTACTCAGGCGCTCAACCAGCAATATCAAGAACCTTGGGTAGCTATTGTAGTTGACCCGCTACGAACTATGAGTGCAGGGAAGGTATGGTGAAATTTGTTTTTTACTGATATATTTTTTTGGATTTTTCTATTAAGGTTGATATTGGAGCGTTTCGAACATATCCACAAGGTTATCAACCACCTCTTGAAGAGGGACCATCAGAGTACCAATCTATCCCACTGAGCAAAATAGAAGATTTTGGGGTGCACTGCAAGCAGTACTACTCCTTAGACGTGAACTTCTTCAAATCTGAACTCGGTGAGGATCACTAAGGCATTATTCCTGGGTGATTACTTTTTTTAGATTCACACATCCTATCAGCCTTATGGAGCACTTATTGGTTGAATACTCTGAGTAGCTCACCGCTTTTGACAAATGCTGGTTATATAAATAATCAAATTGGAGATCTGAGCATGAAGTTGAAACAGGTTCGCTTCGCTATTTTGATGTTTCTAGTCGAGTTTCTTAAAAATAATGCTCACGATGATAAAAGGGGGCCTTAGGTTTTTGATCATGCTTGAGTAAGTCATCAAAAGCTTCTTGAATTCGTTTTTTTTTTCTGTCAGCAGATTTGCTGACCTTTTTGATACCTGCTCTCTTTTGTACTCCTGAATGCTTAGAGGTACATGTTTTGACCGCTTGCAAAATCACTTTGAGAACGGTTTCTGTCTGTCAAAGCGCCGCTTTGCAGGTTGAGAAGAGGTGGGCACGGAGCGAACGAAGCAACGATGTTTTGGAGCAGCTCGACAAGGTACTTGATAAATTGATCCCATTATGCATCATCTCTTTCACCTCATCTTTTTCTCTCATATTGCCGAGATCAGAAATTTTTCAGGCCGTAAAAGACTCTCATACGGTATGCTGTGAGTTGTCCTGTGGTGTGCTCATGCAGCACATCAAACGAGCGATGTTCAACGGTGATAGGGGAACTGATGCAGAAGTCGATGTCATAGTAGATGACGAACATGTCACCGAGAACAACGCCGAAGACATTGCTCCACCCGCCTCATTTGAAGACATCGACTTACCTGATGAAGTGGTTTTGGTGGAAGCTGTCAACTGATAAAGTATGATTTTGAACAGTTTCTATGTCGTTGTGATTTGATTTTTTGAGAAGTATCACGCTTTTCATAGTTTATGTGCAAAACAACTAATTTTGTCTGGTTACGTGGAAGTACCGAATGTAACCTTGTCTTGTTAAAAAAATTACGTGTATGATTCAGTTAGTGCCGCTTGATTTTAGGCATGTGCACTTTTCGATAAATATTGTGAGCTGGCGGATTATTCTCAGCAGCTATGTTGTGCGTCTGTGGGATGCGCCATACTTGATCCTCTTGATCCGCTCAGTCCACTTCGCCATTGGTCAATTTGTTAATTTGACCAATAGCGAAGAGGATGAAGCAGATCAAGAGGGCCAGGTATGGCGCGTGCCTAAGGGACCAAAGTGCAGTCGTCACAGTGGCACGATGATGTGCTTTCGCAGTCTTGGCAATCGCATTTTTCTAAAGCTTTTCTCGACTCGTTAGCCGTTTCAACCCCGCTTCGAGTTCGAAGTTCTGGTGATCAAAAAGGGAAGCGGGGTGGAGGAATAAGGCCAAAATGAGAGAAATCTGGAAGAAAACCGTTGAAAACGGTTAAAATTCTTTAACTCCCGCCGTTCAAAAGGGGCGGCTGCAGCGCATGCAGCGCAGTTCCGGAACAGTTCTAGCACAGTGCGAGAACTGTGCGTGAACAGCCGAATCATGGGAATCAGTATGAACGCAACATAACATCCCCGCTGGGAAAGAGACTGCAGCATAAAAGAAAGCTTCATATCCTGAAGCTTCATTGTGGATTTCACTAGTCTGCCTGTCCGTTAACCCAACCATTTCCCACTATGAACATATTGAACGGAAACAAGAAGCCGCATTTTTCAGCTCTTTGTATGACCTTGTAATGATCCCCAGCCGCCGACCGTCTTTCCTCTATAGTCAATTTTTCTTTCTTCGAAGCCAATAAAAACATTCCAAGGTTGTGCTGTTTATCTAATCCAACAATGCTGAGCATGTTTCTGATAAGAACAAATGATGTTTCAAAGTCATATAATTTGTGTAAAGTTGGGGTTTATCGAGAGTTTTGATATTTCAGTAACTCACTTGTTCTTATTACCAACTAGATGGCAAACCCGGCTCCGCCCGGGACCAAACTTTGCGCACATACACTTCGGGGCAGGGAGCGTGTCATAGTCCACTTTTCGTTATCATCGATGTCGATTTTACCGTTTTTTGCAAAATTTGAGCTAGGGGGCTAGGATTTTGCACAGGGGGGTAATCGAGCATGCCGATCAACCCCTCCGGGGTGATCAGCATGCTCGATTACCCCCCTGTGCAAAATCCCAGCCCCCTAGCTCAAATTTTGCAAAAAATCGATAAAATCGATATCGATCGATAACGAAAAGTAGCCTATGACACGCTCCCTGCCCCGAAGTATATGTGTGCCAAGTTTGGTCCCGATCGGTTCAGAAATAAAAATTTCTATTCCGCACATACGTACAGACAGACATACAGACATACATACAGACAGACATTCAGCTTTATATATAAGAATATGCGCAGCACGATTGGGTTAGTTAAACAGCACACCTTTGCAATGTATAAAAATAACTTTAGAGAAAAGACGGTCGGCAGCTGGGGATCATTAGGGGATCATACAAAGAGGCGGAAAGTGCGACTTATACAGCTTCTTGCTCCCTTTAATATGTTCATGGTGAAGTATGGTGGCAATACTTACGGATAGGTAGGCAAGGTAAATACACATATCTGGAGCTTCAGAATATGAAGCTTTCTTTCAAAGGCAGCGTCCAGGGAAGTCTGGACACATGAGGATCTCACGTGGACAGTAATTTCGGGGCCCTAAATAAGCCACTGCCCAACCGGTAACTCAAGTAGTGCTCTAACGGCTGAGACATTTACCTCGAACCCGGACCCCGCGATCGTATTTCGCACGGATTCGTGGCGCAAAGCCGTGTCCTGGCTCGAAACTGCCATGAATCCATGCGAATACGATCGCGGGGTTCGAAGGTAATATCTCAGCCGCTAGTGCACTACCTGAGCTGCCGCTTGGGCAGTGGCTTGGTAAGGGCCCCAAAACTACGAACCACGTGAGAGTCCCATATGTCCAGATTTGCTTGGACGCTGCCTTTGAGGTGCGATACCCTCTCCAATGGGGAAGTTAGTGCATGCGGCCCTATGAGTCTGCGCACGAGAGCAATCTCTGCCTTTTTGACTTTTGTTTTCATTATTGGTTGTTGCTACATCGTGCTTGGCCCCTTGCAGCTCAGGCGGACGTGAGGGGTAAGCTTTAGGGATGGTTTGAGGGCTGGACGCGCAGTAGCGCGAGAAAGGTCTTAAGGTTGGCCTTTAGCAGATGAAAACGTTAAGGGACTAGAGCTGGGGAGCGCACCGTTTGAGTTGGACTGTGCTCTAGCGGCTACTGATGGAGGGACTCAGACTCTGTACTGAGTCTGAATTGCCAACGTACGGGGTGTCCCAAAAAGATGTACACATTGTTTGATCGTTAATAACTCTGTTGCTTTCTCGTCTTTTGCCGAGCTTGAGGTATCATTCTGTAAAGCGAGGTTCAACTTAAATTTACAGTATGGAGCAAATTATCAATCGCTCTTCATTACTGTACGATTACGGTAGAAACTTCGAGAGGGATTTGAGGCATTGAAAGCGGTATTTTGTTTCATAAAGAAATCCAAACAAGTCAGATATTCTTGAACTGGGGTAATCGTGTCGCTGATTCTAATTATGAAATTTGCACTTCAATGCAGCTCTTCTTCCATAAGTTATTTCAGATTTGAAACAATTTTTTCCAATGTTCGTCAGGAATGTGAATACGCCATCAAGAGAGCTCGAAAAACTGGTGAAAAGTTACGTAGCGAAATCAACGCGCCTGAAAACCTTGCTACACAAACTTTCAGATTTTTTTGAAATTATTTCACCGTAAGGCCTATTCTACAGTGACGCTGTATGCTGAAAATTCATACCGTAATCCTACAGTAATGAAAAGCGGTTGAAAACTCGTCCCATACTGTAAAATTAAGTTTAACCCCGCTCTACAGAATGGTACCTCAAGCTCGGCAAAAGACATCAAAGCAAGTGAGTTATTAACTATCAAACAGTGTGCACATCTTTTTGGGACACTCTGTATACAGGCAGCACATTACGCAGCGCTTGTCCCGTGTTATATTCTGGATCATTCAGCCTTGGGTAGGAATTTATAATTTGGTAGTTTTTGATGGTTTTTTGTTGTGTAATTTTACATTTTATCGTATAGGGTGCCTTCATACCGCGCCGGCAACCGCCGGCTCAAACTGGCGGCTTTCGTTCCCCTACCCCGGCGGCTACGGGCTGCCACGGGCTGCTAGCGGCGGCTGCCGGCACGGTATGAAGGCACTCTTAGTATAGGTGCCTGCAGGATCGCGAGAGTCGGACGTGCGTACGGCCACTGCGCCGCGCACGTCCGATGTCACTAAGGCAGGTGCCAGACTTATCCACTTCAGCCGGTTCGTTCGGTTCATAGGTCAAATCACTACACTGTCCAACAGCAAAGGTGGTAAACCGAATGAACCTGTTCAAGAGGATAAGTCTGGCACTTACCCGAGTCATCGGTCGCACATCTGACGTGCGCGGCGCCATGGCCGTACGCACGTCCGACTCTCGCGATCCTGCAGGTCCCTATATATAAATTCATCTAATCTATTCGCGCCTGTTATAACTGGAGGAATAGTTGTTGTTGATCTCCTCAGTTGCGGACGCGCAACATCTCAGACAATCGCCGGGGGCAGTCGGGCACCGGAAAAATAGATTCCTGATTTCTCGCACCCCGCTCGCGGATTTTTTGGAAAGCAATCAGGACTTTTCGGGAGACCGCTTGCTGAGTCAGCGGGTTTTTGAGAGACCGCCTGTTGAATTTTTTTTTTCGCTCTTATCTTTTGCAGATATATTGCTGAATCTCTGAGGATTCGAAAACTCAGCAAGCGGTCTTCCGGAAAGTCCTGATTGCTTTCCAAAAAATCCGCGAGCGGGGTGCGAGAAATCAGCAATATAAGCTCCTGCAAGACGAAGGCGGTTGGTTCGAGGCGCGACGTGGCTGTGACGCGGCTGTGACGCTGCTGTGACACAGCCATGTCGCAGCCGCGTTGCACATCGAACCGACCGCCTTCGTCTTGTAGGAGCTTATATATTTTTCCGGTGCCCGCCTGCCCCCGGCGATTGTCTGAGATACTGCTCGGGATTGGTAGCATGAGGCAGTCGAACACAGAGGTGCGGAGCCCACCATGTCGCCATAGGCAGGGTTCATACTGAGCCACACAAAGCGGCACAGTTCCAGCACAGCGCTCGAACTGTGCTCGAACTGTGCCGGAACTGTGCTGCATGCGCAGTTGGAGTTTTTTGACCGTTTCTGACGGTTTTCTTCTAGGTTTCTCTCAATTCGGACCTTATTCCTCGACCCTGCTTTTCCTTTTGATGAGTAGAACTCCGAGCGCAAAGCGGGGTTGAGGAATAAGCGCTGTTCTGCTTTGTGTGCCCGATTATGCGTGTTGTTCCGCTCGTTCATGTCTCTTCGTTTTACCCTTGCATTAATGTATTCCATTTGTTTCCAGGAGGCCGCTGCAATATTTTCGCAGGCATTTTTCTTGAAGGAGAGCAAAAATAGTGCAGAAGAGCAGGAAATGGCGCTATTCCACATAAGTTGACCCAAAAAATGAAGATCGTGAATTTCGCTGAAACTTCGTCTAGGGAGGTTTGGTACGCTGAACACGAATATGATGTTTATTTCGTGCGAACAGCGCCATCCGGTGGAGTTACGGTAGGATTACGGTAGGGGGTCAAAATCACGGATTTGCACGAAACTTGGCCTAGAGGGGTTATTCGGCCCGCTGACGCCGAATATCACATTGGTTTCGTACTGTAGTGTCATCTTCTCGAGTTACGGTGGGTATACGGTAGGGGGTCAAAATCTCGAAATTCGCTGCAACTTTGCACAGAGGGGTCATTCGACATGCTGATTAGAAATGTCACACTTTTTCCGCACGAAAACGTCTCCCTGCATGGTTACAGTAGGTTTACGGTAGGGGTCAAAATCACAAATCGGCAAATGTATCTTTCCCCTGTGCTTTGCTTAGGCAAAAGCCGCAGCAGAGTGTATAGCGCGCGGCGGTGGTCATGTGTGCAAAGCTTCACGATCATCCAAATCGCCACACACCCGTTTCGGGATGAACTATGTTTTACATCC